CACCTACTGTGAAATTCACAAGAGTTTGCTATTTCAGAGTGGATGAAAGATACAGCATAGAGGCAAAACCAAACGATAAAACAGGCAAGGCTAATTTTAAACCCTTCAATTTCCCTTCTTCAATTTCCCTTCTCCAATTTCTTACTCCTCTTGCTTCAATTTTCTGCATGTTCCCTTTCAACATCAAGAAAAATGATAAAATACAATACTTTTGAGGTTATTTGCTTTTTGTCAAATCAGAATCTTGACCCAAAGGTTAGGACAATATCTGGTGGGTATTTGAGGAGTCGGTCAGCAAGATTGTAATCTTCAACACTGACTGTAAGGGCTTTTGTCGCATGCCTTCTGAGTTTCATTAGAGAATGGGAAGATAAGAGGAGCAAGAAGAACTGTGCAGAAAGTGATAAGAACAAGCCATCCTGTGGGCTTCTCAAGTGAGCAGACATGCCTCTGGGAGTAAAATGTAGTCAACAAATTTGTTCAAAGAACCACTCAGAAACTTCTTCCCAAAACCTAAAAACATGGTCATTCCTAACTCAGAACAGTCCCTTTGTTTCATTAGGAGTGGAAGAACAGCTTCTTTCCCACAACTATCAAATACAGTCTCCACTGAAAACAGGGTATGGTTATGTGTGGTTTTAGGGCACAAAACACCTGGATCCCTATGCTGACCTGGCTGAAGCTTCCTTCACTGAAGCATGATATTTTCCACCCATAGGTATGGAATGATCACAAAGTCTGTGTTGGAAGGTTGAACTCACTAAAAGCAAGCTTTGGTCTCAAATGCTTTTCCTAGGGAGAAGCAATCTCCATGCATTTACTTAAGTAGAATGGATTTTGTTATTTCTATGTAAGTTGCCCCCCCCATCCCTTTCATCTCTGTACCCCTTTGTGCCAAGCACAGAAATAGGTATTCAACGAAAACTTGTCAAAGAAAAAATTTCTTTCTTATGCAAGCTCTCTCCTGTCTTTCTTATCTGAAGTCTTCCCTGGAATATAAGTAGGTGGTCCTTCTTCACATTCATTAATATCTCATTACCTAGCTGTTTTTCAAAACAACTGGAAAATTTGAGAACAATAACAAAATCTTTACTGATACCTAAGAGTTACTGGAAGTAACTTTTAGTTGTAAAAATTAAAGCCATTCCCTAACGGAAGGCAAGAGTTCACAATTAAATGTAAGAGGATAATTTACTATAGACAGATGTAAAGTACCTAGGGAGAAATGCATAGCCATCTGGACTTGTATGATGGCAAAAATTCAAACTAGACTTTTAGAATTGAAGGGGCTTTAGTATCAGGTCCCCAGGTCTGGTATCTCATCCAATCCAAACCAATCTTTGACTAGCATCTCTTCCCTCTACCCGGTCTCCCTTCTAATGACTTTAAACCTCTCTTAGGCTAGCAGTTCACAAGAAGGCAAATGAAGAAAGATAAGCAATAAGAACAAAGGATGGCAACTAAAATGTGTAATTCAATGCTCTGCATATGAATTTTCTGACACTAGTGAAAGAAATCACATCATAGTTATTAAAATATTGAATTTCTCCCCTTCTTATCCAGTATCAGCACACAATACAGTTGAGGCCATGGTGAGTATGGTTCCATGCTTTACACATTACTTTAAAAAGTCATCATTATTCATAAAAAGTAGAGTTTAGAATATAAGGGAAATGGGGATTGCAATTTATAATCCAAGGAATTCAAAGGTTTTAAATATTTTAAAGCCCTCATTTTTCAGCTTCTCACTTTGTGCCTTTTTATTCAAGAAAACCTGTAATACTGAGTGTTGGCAAAGATGTAAGGAACTGGAACTCCCACATGCTGGTAGTAGGAATGTAAATTGGTATGACCACTGAGGAAAACTGTTGGACGGTATCTAGCAAAACTGAATGTCTTCCTCTATAATCCAGAAATTCTACTCCTAGGAAAAATGGGTGTTGTGTACACCAAAATCATGTAAAAAAAATGTTCACAGCAGTTTTATTCATATTACACAAGATTGAAAACAACCTACATGTTCTTCAATGATAGAATAGATAAACAAATTACTGTATATTCATACTAAGAAATAGCACCCAGCAATTAAAGAAAAATGACCACTGCTATTCAACCTGAGAACAAGGTTGAATTCCATAATCACAATGTTGAGTGAAAGAAGCCTGACATAAAAGAACACATAATGCCCTACCGGTTTGGCTCAGCGGATAGAGCATCAGCCTGCGAACTCAAGGGTCCCAGGTTCGATTCCGGTCAAGGGCATGTACCTTGGTTGCGGGCACATCCCAGTAGGGAGTGTGCAGGAGGCAGCTGATCGATGTTTCTCTCTCATCGATGTTTCTAACTCTCTATCCCTCTCCCTTCCTCTCTGTAAAAAAATCAATAAAATATATTTTAAAAAAAGAACACATAATGATGGTCTGGTTTACATGAAGTTAAAAATAAGTGAACCAATGATATTAGAAATCAAAATAGTGGCTACTTTTGTGGGGTAGTGACTGAAACAGGGCTGAGGTAGACTTGGTCTATATCTGGACCCAATAATGATTATATGGGTACATCCATATACAAAAGTTAATGGAGTTGCACTCTTAAGACTTGTGTATATTTGCTGTGTGCAAATTATATCTCATTTACAACAATCTGCAGAGTTATAGAAATCTGGGGGCTCTTTCTTAAAGAACTCAATGCAGCTTAAATAAGTTGCAAATACTCTCTTTATACTTTTTGAAAGCCTTTATATGCCACTGAAACACTCACCAGTGTCATGCTTAATAGAAAGTGAACTTTTTGTATTCATAGACTGAAAAACATATTGTACTATATATTTGAAGTATACAGAGTTACCAACTAGTAAAAATGTTTGCAATTGTCTGCTTTCCCAAGCTTTTCTCCCTTATGTTACATTTCTTACTCTGTAATTCTGAATGATTTGTAACAAACACTCTTGGACATAATTCCTGCACCTCTATATTGGAAATCTTTTCTCTATATACCACAGAGACTTCATGTTGGAATCCTAGAATTGGGAGCAGTGAGTGCTGGTTCCAAGATTGCAGAACCAGGACTGGGACCTGAGGCTCCTGGGTTCCCAGAATTCTGTCTCCTTCACCACAAATTTGAGTCACCCCTCTCATCTTTCCAAACAGATAAAGTGCATTAAAAGGGGATTTTTAAAAATTTATATATATATATAATTTTTTGAATTAACAACTATGCTACCCAGCAGATTATTCGGGAACCGTGCGTGAGACCTTGAAAACTCCGTTAGGGTTTAATATCAGGATAAAAACTGAGAAGGAAGGGGTAGCTAGTGTTTTAATGTGTAAATCCTATTTGCATAATATTCCCAAAGTAATTTTTTCGTTAATCCAACCGAAACTCGGCGGGGTTGCGGGTTATTATTCGCAATGACTCGCTTTGGGGGAGAACGCGGGCGCACTTGCCAGAGTTCACTCCATACATAAAACCCCAAAAGAGTGAAAGACGCCACCCAGGAGCCTACAGTATCCAGTGTCGGTCCCGACTAGGTCCGGAGCCACCTGGCACTACCCTCGGGGCAGCAGACGCGGGCAGAGGCCCAGCACCGGGTGCGCGGGCCCAGCGGGGGCGAGAGGGAGCGCCAGCGCGGGCGGCCCGGCCCCCGGCAGAGCCTCGGCGAGCCCGCCCGCGGGAGTCCGGGCCGCCGGTCGGATCGCGGCCCGAGCCGGCAGTGAATTTAGAGAAAGAGGCAGGAGACGTGGGGGTGGGCAGGGCGGGGTCCCCGGGCCAAGTCAGGGGCGAGTCCGGAGGGCCGCGACAGAGGGGAGGGGCGCAAGGAGCAAGGGAAAGCGCGGGCCAGAAGCGCGGCGCGGGAACGGGAAGCGCCGCGCCGACCACCGGTGCGGCTGGGGCCGAGGCCGCCGCGGGTCTGCGAGCGGGCGGAGCGGGGCCTTAC